CAGCAATTGGATAATTTTTAACAGAAGGACAAATGGCCAATAAATACATGAAAAAAGTTCAACATCCTTACTCATAAAGGAAACACAAATAAAATTGACATTGAAATTTCCCCTCACCCTAGTTAGAATGGCAGGAAAAGAAACAACAACAAATACTGCACAAGATGTGGGGATAAGGAGACTTTTTAAGCTCTCTTTAGCAGTACTATTCATAATATCCAGGCTATGAAATCAGTCTGGGTGCCTGTTCACCAATGAACAATAACTGGATAAAGGAAATGTAATGTTATATATATATATATATATGTACATATACACATATATGTTGTATATATGCAATATATATAATATATATTTATGTAAAAGGTACATAATGTGTAATATTATCTATTTATCTATCCATCTATGCAGAATATTATCTAGCTATAAAGAGGAAGGCAGTCCTCTTGTTTGAAATGGATAGAACTGGAGGTCATCAGGTTAAGTGAAAACCTAGGCTAGAGAGAGAAAAATATATTTTCTCTCATAGGTAAAATCTAGAGCTAGTAATTAAAGAGTATGACATTAATGTAAAAGGGAAATGCGTGTGCAGATGTGTGTGTGCAGATGTGTGTGTGTGTGTGTACCAGTATGGAGGCGATAATGAATAGAGAGGGTGAATAAGGGATAGATATGATTGAAGCACATTAATGATTGCATGTGTGAAAATAAAATAATGAAATTTATTGAAAATTGTTCAAGAGGCAAGGTGTAAGAAACTAATAGGGAGGTGAATATGATCATAGGGAATTATATGCAGGTATAGGAATATCCCAGTGAAATCCTTCTATAATTAATATACGGTAAAGAAAGAAAGGGAGTGTGGTAGCAAATGCTTGTAACCTCAGCATTCTGGAGGCTGAGGTAGGAGATTTATGAGGACAAGGTGACCTGGCTGCATAGTATGTCCTTGTGTTCAAAAGGAAAACAAAAGAAGAAAAAGGAATGTTTTAAAAATGTGTTTGACTAAAAGGAATACACTTTCATTGTGTAGTCAGATAGCCTTGATGAGAACCTGAAAGTGTGTGAAATTCAAGGCCTCTCAGTGATAATTGCTGAACATAAAATGTGAGCCTGTGGCTCACACCGAGCACTTACAATGGGTAGAGCATCCTTCTGTTTGTTTCATTTGGGATAAACCCTCAGAGAGAGCAGAACTGTTAGAAGATGCCCAGGAGAAGCATGATTTTTACAAGTCTTATTAGTTAGGAGCACACCACTGGAAGCATTGAGATATAGTAGGAATTATCATTTAAAAGAATGATCACCAATTTTTAAAAATTAACTTATATATGTCCTTTGTCAAGTTTACAGTGCTTAAAATTTGTCTCAAAAATGTAGTTTTAGAGTTTATATCAGAGCATGAATAACTCTGGTTTAAATTCATGATCATTTGACATTCATAAAAAGACTCAATACTGGATAGCTACTTATCTACTTATTACTGCTGGGGTTAGCCATGTGTTGGTGGCTCTCCTTTGTAATCTTACCTGAGCTTGGGTCGGAAAGTCTGTGAGATTCTTATCTACAATTAACCAGCACCCCTCCAAAGAAAACCAAAACCAAAACCAAAACCAAAAAGCCAGATGTGAAGCTGTGACTTAAATGGTAGCATACTATTAGCCTTGAGCAAGAATGGCTCTGGGATACTGGAAAGCACCTGGGCCTTGAGTTCAAAACAAAACATGAGTATGTGCAAATAAATGATGAGTAGATAGCCTATGAGACAATGTCTACTACCCATATACCTGCCACAGTTTTAGGCATGAAAAATGTAACACTGGAAAGAAACCCACTGGTGCTTTCAGTAGAATTAGGTTTAGTGAACTTCCTCTTCATATATTACCCAATACACACACACACACACACACACACACACACACACACACACACACACACACACACACACACGATTTGAACATAGGGCCTGGGTTCTGTCCCTGAGCAATTTTGCTCAAGGCAAGCACTGTATCACTTTGAGCCACAGCTCCACTTCTGGTTTCTGAGAGGGTAACTGGAGATAAGATTCTCATGGGGACTTTTCTACCTGGGCTGGTTTTGAACTATGATCCCCAGATCTTAGCCTCCTGAGTAGCTAGAATTACTGGCATGAATTCCTGGTGCCTGGCTCCATTTTATTGTTTATTGAAAGTTTAGTAGGTACACACGAAAAATCTCCACAGAACTGCAAGATAAGATTCCTTATAAATACTTGTTTTTTTGATTTTATGAGAATAATTAGCCATTTTGTGATTGCAAAATAAATTCTGTACTTTAAAATACCAGCAAATTAAAAATTCCAGGAATTATAATCCTTCTGTGCCATCTACCCGAAGAGCTACAGATAAGCACATCTGTAGAATTTATGTTTCAGTAGGACTGATAGAAACAGATTTATGTCTCTGCAGAATCTGCAGATATTGTTGGTTACGTGATTGTATCTGGAGGAAGGGAATAAATTAAAGCTAAATGAGGTCAGAGGGAAGAACTCTGATAAGATAGAATTAGGGGACTGGCAAGGTGGCTCAGTGGTAGAGCACTTGCCTTGCAAGCCTGAGGCCCTGGGTTCGCTTCCTCAGCACCACATAAACAGAAAAAAACAGAAGTGGTGCTGTGGCTCAAGTGGTAGAGCGCTAGCCTTAAGCTGAACAGCTGAGAGGCAGTGCCCAGGCCCAGAGTTTAAGTCCCATGACCGACTGAAAAAAAGAAAAAGAAGATAGACTTAGGTATCAGCAGAGAACTTACACAGTCTCTTTACTAGGCAGGGACACAGTGAGAAGGAAATCATTTGCCAGTCAGTAAGAGTAAGTCCTAGCCAAGAATCAAATATTCTGGACTGTTGTAGAAAACTATAATAATAGATTAGAAATTCCTAATGCAGATTTTCAAACAAGTTTACTTTCAATTTACTTGGAGGCTGTTGACCCTAATTTAAAGAAGGAAAGAAGTGTAAAAGCAAATTTTGGTTTTAGTATTTATAATTAATATTTATAATATTATGATAAATATTTATAATTAGCTTTCATTACTTCAGACATCAAACCTTCAGCTGGTACCATTCAGTGCCATGCTTTGGAAATTCCTTTAGGATAATTGTTTTAAATAGGAAACCAAGAATTTCCAGTGTTTTTTTCAGAGCTTACATCAGTTTCTTGGTTTTGTTAAGTTGTAAGGCCATATTATGTCACTAGATGGCGAGAGTTGCAAGTTGAAAGGACTGTATTACCAGAGGTGATGTGTAATCGGTGTAATCTTGCACACTGGCCTCTTTTCCTATGTAGCTAGGAAACTCATCTTGGAAACTCTCATTAGAAAAAAATGGATTTTGTTTGGGTCTTTGCTTGCAAAATATGTGCAATAAAATAAAAAACCAGCATTCAGCTCCTTATTTAAGAAAAAGTACTGAAGAAGCTGGGGATGGTGGCTCAAGGCTGTCATTCCAGTTGCTGGGTAGGCAGAGATCAAGGTATTGTGATTTAAAGCCAGCCAGGGCCAAAATAAGTGCAGGAGACTCCATCTAACTAATGTCCGGGTGCAATGGTACATGTCAGTCACCCTCAGGGGAAGAACAAGCAGGAGGATTGTAGATGAGGCTAGCCCAGGCATTGAATAATAAATACCCTACATAATACAGCCAGGTGCCATTGGTTCAGGCCTGTGATCCTAGTTTCTCAAGAGGCTGAGATCTGAAGATCGAGGTTCAAAGCCAGCTCGGGCGGGAGTGGGGGCGGGAGGTCTGTGAGACTCTTATCTCCAATTAATCACAGAAAAAGCCGGAAGTGGCGGTTGTGGCTCAAGCGGTAGAGTGCTAGCCTTGAATGAAAGGAGCTCAGGGACAGCACCCAGGCCCTGAGTTCAAGCCTCAGGATCACCTCCCTGCCCCCACCACCCAAATAATCAATAGATAGTTAAGTGTGGCTCAAGTTGTAGAGCAACTGCCTGGCAAGAGCAAGATGCTGAGTTCAATATCCCAGTTCAGCAGCCACCTCCACCCCCAAAAGTGGAGTTTAAAGAAAATAACAATAGATTTTCTTCTATTAAGTTACTAGATACTGAGTTAAAATACTAGTGGGAACCAAGGGGCAAGTAAAATTGGTCCTGGCAAAGTTGCAAACTGATAGATTAATTTTTTTTTAATATCCTCTAGGACTCAAATAGATGGTTCTCAGCTTTCCTCTTTTCTCAAGTCTCTTTCCTCAGCTGCTGTCCTTTTGGGTCTGCAGCTGTTCTTCAGTGGTTGGTTATCACCAAATCCATTTTAATTGCTTATTTATTACATGTCTCCTCGGTGGCTCACTCTTTTGGAGTCAGAAGTTTGAATTCTTGCTAAAGAGTGGCTTATCAAGGAACATTCTCATTAATTAACAAGTGATTAGGATTTAGTGGGAAAATTAGCTCAACATGATTTCACTCCTTCCTTCCTTCCTTCCTTCCTTTCTTCCTTCCTTCCTTCCTTCCTTCCTTCCTTCCTTCCTTCCTTCCTTCCTTTCCTGCCTTTTATGAAAGTGCATCTTTAATAAGCAAACTCCCCAGCCCCCTTTAAACATGGATAGAACACAAATTTAAGATACATCTAGCTGTCAAAATTGTGTGCAAATAATGATCAATGGCGACTCCCTCAAGTTATAAATTGTGTTAAGGACTAACCTTTTTATGCCGGGGCAAGATGCCAATTATTAACACAATTTCGATTGATTCTAGAAAGAGGATAACTTTGAGCTGAACGTATTTACAAGAGCTACTGTTCACTAGGAGCTAAGCAGCCCTGGCTGCCTTGTGCTTGTGTCCTGTCTGCGGGCTACTTTAGTATTGAGCTTAAAAAGTGGATTGGATCTCAGCTACCAAATTCTACGCCCAGTGTTGCATCCGCTGGCATCCAACATCTGACTAAATACTTAGAATCTACTTGACTGTTCTAACTGTGCTCAGATCCCTACACTCCTACAGCCCCACCCCTGTACCCCACCAGCCTGGGGTGCGCCCACCATGCTGACGCTCAGAAGCCTATTTTTCCCCCTGGTCCTGGAGTAACCCAGTTTGGCCTCGTTGTTGATGAAGGACATCAGCCCCAAGGAGGTCTCAATGAAGAGTGGGCACTCCAGGACCTGCACGCTGTTACCTTGTCCTGGCAAAAGACTTTCTGGGCCTTTTTTCTTTTGACAGCTTGGATTAACAAAGCCTCGAAGCTTTTCAGTTGGCACAGAAACGCCGCCCTCATGTCCACCCCTGCCATCGAGTGCCCTATGAAAGTGGCGTAGGTCACGCTGGGGACCAGGGGTTCCACCTGCTGATGAAAGAAAGGGGGCTCTGCTTATGCCACTGCATGTGAATCCCAAAGCCTTCTGGCTGTTTGAGTGACTTGAAAGGAAACTGGAATTCCCCGTAGGAGATGGTGTCCACCGCCCCAAACCCTGACCACCTGCTGACACTAAAGGCCGATGAGGTCGTGTTTACAGATGAGCAGCGACTGGTGGATGAGCAGCACTGGCCTTTCCTTCTCGTTGTTCCAGTGGTCCACCTCGGTCAGCAGCCACACTCCCTGAATCTCTCCGTCCTCCACCGGCTGGAGCACCGCACGGATTTCCTCCACCGCCTGCTCTATGGTGCGGGGCCGGAACACGGAGTACTCCCTGCGCGTGGGGTCGTGGACACTGAGCGGCCACAGCGTCTGGTGTGGAGGCGCGCCCTTTCCTGGCCTCCACCTCTGTTCTTTCTCTCTTCATGGAAGTTCTGTGGTTAATATCTCAGCAGAGCAGAGTTCAGATACTCAGTGAGGAAAAGAGAATTTAGCAAAGAGGATTTCTAGTGAAGGCCCAGGGGAAGGAATCAGGCTCTTTAACAAGAAATAGAGACTAGGTTCAGGACCTTCTACAGTAGAAAATTATATATTCCTCATAAGGAGTAGGGGCCTCCTACAAGGTGGTTTGGATTGATAAAAGGAGCATGGAGAGGGTCAAAGTTGAGGCTGTAGGCTGGTGATGGTGTGGTGGTGGTGTGTGTATGTGTATGTGTGTGTGTGTTGATTAGCAAGGAGTATGCATTTTGACTTTTCTTTCCTTGTTTTGTATTTTTATGGTATGGATCCATAGAGGAGCATGGAGTGGGTGCAAAGTTGAGGCTGCAGGCTGGTGATGGTGTGGTGTAGTGTGTGTGTGTGTGTGTGTGTGTGTGTATGTGTTGCTTTTATTTTTGTATGTTGTGTGTTCCAGTCCTGGGGCTTGAACTCAGCATTTATGTGCTGTCTCTGATCTCTTTTGATCAAGGCTAGCTCTGAACCACTTGAGCCACAGCTCTACTTCTGGCATTTTGGTGATTAATTGGAGATCAGAGCATCAAGAACTTTCCTTCCCCAGACTGTCTTTGAACCATGGTCCTCAGATCTTAGCCTCCTGAGTAGCAAGTGTTACAGGCTTGTGCCACAGATGCCTAGATTGCTTTCAATTTTTTCCATTCTCTAGGCCCCATCTCCATGATTTCTCTTCACCTGGGAAATCAGTACCTTGTGTGTATTTTCTGATGTTGCTCCTCATTGGGGAATCTTGATCAGAAATTTAAGGACAAGGGAATCAAGAAATCCACAGAGACCAACTTCTAAAGGAATAGAACGGCGAATCTGGAAAGGAAAACGAGAAAGTCCAGCACAGGGAAGTTTTAAAAACAGAACTTTGATTCTTAAATTGTGTCCCCAAGTAAGGCTTTCCAAGGAACCAGGCTTGCTGGTTCATGAGCCTGTGAAATCATGTTATATGGAGGCATTTGTTGAGAGAGAAAGCATTCTCAGAGTTCCTAGATATCTGGCAGGCTGTTGATGCAGATTAGTCAGTAAGTACAGATTTGATTGATCAACTGTAGACTCATGGACTCCAAGCCTTATTTGCACAGAAATAATTGTAGGGTTTTTTTTGCCTTCTACATAAATTGTTTTTTGCCTTCTATAGAGAGGAAAAAAAGCTTGGGTTTAAGCCACTGCAGAATTTTCACCACTATCTGAACTGTTTCTGAATTTAAATTCTTAAAAATAAAGCTTCTGTGTATGCAGCATTAATTATTAATTATTGATTTGTGTGTGTGTGTGTGTGTGTGTGTGTGTGTGTGTGTGTCAATTAAAAAGAGACTTCTCTGGAGAAGAAATAAGAATGGCCAATAGACTAATGAAGAAATGTTCAACATTTCTGGCCATAAAAGAAATGCAAATCAAAACCATATTGAGATCCCACCTCACCCCATTTAGAATGGCCATTATCAAGAAATTTAATAACAGATACTGGTGGGGATGTGACCAAAAGAGAAAGCTACTACATTGTGGGAATGGAAACAGGTTCAACCACTCTGGAAAGTAGTATGGAGATTCCTCAAAAGACTACACATAGAGCTTTCTTATGACCCAGCAATCCCACTTCTAGGTATTTACAAATGATCTCAAGACAATGACATACTAAAGCTACCATCACAACTATGTTCATTGTAGCATTATTTATCATAGCTAAGATATGGAACCAACCCAGATGTCCTTCCGTAGATGAATGAATCAAGAAAATGTGGTGTATATATATATATATATATATATATATATATATATGCTTCCATAAGAAAGAATGGCATCACCCCATTCATAAAGAAATGAAAAGACTTGGAAAAAATCATATTAAGGGATGTTCCCTTTCTTTCCACTCAGCCATCTTGTCAGTTGCTTTCGGTTGGGAGCCCTCCTACACCTAAGACAGGAAAATGGTGGTCACCAAGAAGAAGAAAAAGTCTCTGGAGTTGATCAACTCTAGACTCCAACTTGTTACAAAAAGTGGAGAGTATATGCTGGGGTTCAAGCAGACTCTGAAGATGATCAGACAGGACAAAGTCATCCTTGCCAACAACTTCCCAGCCTTGAGGGAATCTGAAATAGAATACTATGCTACTTTGCAAAAACTGGTGTTTATCACTACAGTGGCAATAATATTGAACTAGGCACAGCATGTGGAAAATACTACAGAGTATGGACACTAGCTATCATTGATTCAGTGATTCGGATATCATTAGAAGCTTGCCAGAACAAATTGGAGAAAAGTAAGGAGTGCACAAATTTTCTTTAATAGATTTTGGCAGAGTTAGCTTAAAAACAAACAAAAAAAAATCATATTAAGTGATGTATGCCAGACCCAAAGAAACATAGGCTCCATGGTTTCCCTTATCTGTAATAATTTGTATATGTGTAGGATAGTCCTAGCAGAGGATCACAATAGCTCAATAGCTACACACATATGACCATATAAAATGATGCTAATTGAAATGACCTCCAAGATACAGAAATCTCCAAGATACAGGATCTTTGTTATTGTTGATGTTGTTGTTTTTAATATATTGCATGAAGTTCTTTCTTTCTTTTTCTTTTTCCTTTTGGTTTATCCCCTGTAGTCACTGTTTTTGATTCTGGTACCGTGTGTTTTATATATACAATTAGCTTATTTGGGGAAGGAAAGGTGAATAACAAAATGGTGAAACAAGGACAAAGGGTGAAACAATGCAACAGCAATACCAGAAGACACTAGGTTGGAAATGAACTTTACATCTTGGTGGGGGGAGGAGTTGGCGGGGAGGGAAAGTGGAAGAAGGAGAGAGTGGGTAACAATGTTCTTTAAGAAATGTACTCATTACCTTATTTATGTAATTGTAGCCCTCTGTATATCACCTTTACAACAAAACAAAATTAAATTAAAAAGAAAAAGATAAAAAAGCCAAGATCTCTTGGCTCACACCTGTAATCCTAGGTACTCAGAAGACTGAGGATCACGGTTCAAAGTCACCCAGACAGGAAAGTTTGTGAAACACTTATCTCCAATTAACCACCAGAAAACTGGAAGTGGTGCTGTGGCTCAAGTGGTAGAGTGCTCACCTTGAACTGAAGAGCTGAGGGACAACGCCCAGGTCCAGAGTTCAAGCCTCACGACTGACCAAAAATAACAACAACAACAGAAATTAATAAAAATAGACAGGAACGTAAGTGTAAATAGAAGCATATGCAATTTGCCACACATATCTATAATATGCCTCTATTTTTGCTTTTTTGTATGTATTTTTTATTGTAAAGATATGGTACAGAGGAATTACAACTATATGAGAAAGGTTATGAGTACATTTCCTATGGAACATTGTTACCCCCTCCTTTGTTTTCCCCTACCATCCCCTCCCTCTCCACCTCCCCAACTCCTCCCTACCCCCAACCCCCAAAGTTGTAAAGTTCATTTTCAACATAGTGTCTTGTACATCTCATTGTTACAATGGGTCAACCTGAATCCTTATTTCAGCATTTTGTTATTTTCCTTCCCTTCTTCAAATTAGAAAAATGTATATACAAGATTCAGGGTACAAGAATCAAATACAGTGAAAACAGGGGTTATACCATGGGGGAAGAACATATAAAAGAAACGAAAAAAATCACATAGTACATTATAAATACATTAAAAATAACCCCCCCAAAAGATAAAACCACTTGTGTCCCTATCTTTGGTTTCATTTCACTTAGCATCATCTTATATCATCATATATACATGGCTTTTGACCTTTTTTGCTTGTGATATATATATACACACACACACACACACACATATTACACACACACCATGGTATTCTATGCTTCCATCAGAAAGAATGATATTGGCCCATTGTAAGGAAATGGAAAAACTTGGAAAAAAATCATATTAAGTGAAGTAAGTCAAACCTAGGGTTTCTCCTATTCTTTCCTGGAATGTTTTCATGGTGTCTGCTTTGACTCTGAGGTATTTGATCCATTTGGAGTTGATTCTGGTGCAGGGTGATATATAAGGATCTAGCTTTAGTTTTCTACAGCTATTTAACCAATTTTGCCAGCACCATTTTTTTTTAGCTCCCTTATCGAAGATTAGGTGGCTATAGATCTGTGGGTTCATTTCTTGGTCTTCAGTTCTATTCCATTGATCCTGAGGTCTGTTCTAGTGCCAGTACCAAGCTTTTGTAGCAGAGTTTGAAATTTGCTATTGATATTCTTCCAGCACTATTTTTTCTGTTAAGGATCGCTTTTGCTATCCCGGGTCTTTTATTGTTCCATATGAATTTTTGGATTGCTTCTTCTATTTCATTGAAGAATGAGGTTAGAATATTAATAGGTATCACATTGGATATGTAGATAGACTTTGGAAGTATTGCCATTTTCATGATGTTGAAATTCAGGAGCATGGGAGGTTTTTCCACTTCCTAAGTTCTATTTTGATTTCCTTTTTCAGGTTTTTAAAGTTTTCATCATAGAGGTCCTTCACTTCTTTAGCTAATTCCTAGGTATTTTATTTTTTGTGGGGCTATTACAAAAGGACTTGCTTTTCTGATGTCAGCTGCGCTCTTCTCATTGTTGGCATACAGAAAAGCCATTGACTTTTTTTTCTAAACTTTACCAAAGTTTAGAATCAGCTTGAGTAATTTGGGAGTGTAGTCTATGAGATTCTTTAAATACAAGATCATGTCATCTGCAAAGAGGGAAAGTTTTACTTCAGCTTTCCCTATTTGGATCTCCTTTATGTTTGCATCTTGTCTTATTGCTGCAGTTAGGCATTCTAATACTAAGTTGAAGAGAAGTGGAGAATAAGAGGGAACCAATTCAACAGCGATATTCACAAGACAATACGTTGGAAATGATCTGTATAACTTGAGAGGAGGTCTGGGACCAGCTTTGCATCCCTGAAATGAATCCTGTTTGATCGTGGTGTATGATTTTTTTGATGAATTGTTGAAGTCTATTGGCCAAAATTTTGTTGAGAAGTTTTGCATCGATGTTCATCAAAGAAATGGGTCTATAGTTCTCTTTCTTTGGTGAGTCCCTTCCTGGTTTTTGGGATGAGGGTTACAATGGCTTTATAGAAAGAGTTCAGTAGTGAACTTCTCTTTCAATTTCATCGAAGAGTTGGAGGAGTATTGGTGTGAGTTCTGCTTTGAAGGCCTTATAGAATTCAGCTGTAAATCCATCTGGTCCTGGGCTTTTCTTAGATGGGTGGTCTGTTATTGCTCTTTCTGTTAAGTTGGTTTAACTCATCTTGGTTTAATTTCAGCATGTCGATATTTGCTAGGAAATTGTCTATTTCTTCCAGATTCTCAAACTTATTAGCATAAAGGTTTGAGACGTATTCCCTTATAATGTTCTGGATCTTGGTTGTTTCTGTGGTGATGCTTCCATTCTCATCTCTGAGTTTGTTTATTTGAGTGTATTCTCTTCTTTTTCTGATAAGATTTGCTAAGGATCTGTCAATTTTGTTAATTTTTTCAAAGAACCAACTCTTTGTTTTGTTGATTCTTTCTATGATTCTTTGGATTCTTATTCATGTAATTCATTTAATTTTAATTATTTCTTTCTGTACTGGATTGGGGTTTATCTTGCTGTTCATTTTCAAGGAGGTTCAGATGTCTCATTAAATTGTTGGCTTCAGATTTCTCCAATTTGTTGATGTAGAACTCAGAGCTATAAACTTACTGCCAAGTATTGCCTTTGCTGTGTCCCAGAGGAGCTGGTACT